ATAAATAATGCATTCACATAACATACATATATGCACGCACTGTTGTGTTGCATGCAAAATATTCTATCCTAATATTATTGCATTAGCGCAATATCATCAAGTCCTAACGTTGCACGCAAAATGCAATCCATTTTTGAGCCAAAAAATATCTTTGTAAAAAATTGCTAAAATCAATCAAATATAATTACAAAATTAAAAATTATATCATTGCTTAAAATTACTTCATCAAATTTTATTTTTGAGCTGTTTCAAACTTCACAAAGTGTACGAAATTTTTCCTCATTTCATAAAAAATAAATTCGTAATTTTGGAGGAAATTTTGAACCTTAAAAACAGTAGCAAATGTTTTATTGATTGAAAATGAATTCCTCAAAAGAAATGAAATTTCTCAATATCTCTTCACCAGTCGATGTAAACATTTCATTCGAACTTAACCGATGGATTTGCAGTGAAAAATTTTAACAAACAAAACCTGTTTGATCGCGGATTTTTTCCGATCCGCAATCATTCCTCTATCATTTATTCCTACAAATTGTTTTCTTAACAGCTTTAAAGAAATACTAATTTGCAAATTAAATTCTAGCTGATAAGATAGAAAATTAATAAATTTTCAACTCTATTTTTTTTTTGTTTTATTTTGATTTATTAGAAATGGAAAATTTTTTAAAATTGAGAAAAAAGAAAAGCAAATAGGAAATGTGAAATTTAAAAATGACCTAAATGAAAGAAATAAACGGAAACATTTAACAACATCACTTTGTGACGAAGCAATATTTTACTCAAATTTCATGCACTATTCAATCAATTAAAAACTGTTCTTTAAGTTTCATTTTTAAATTTTGTTTTTTGATAACCGTTGATGTGGAATAGAAGGCAGCTAATCAATTTGACTTCGTCTGAATCTTTTAAAACTAAATTTATGTCCTTTCAAACATAGGCAAATTAGTTTACATGGAGGAGTTTTATGTTTAGTCAAGAAAAATATGTTCATTTTCTCTTTGCTTTTTGCACAAATAGCACCACCATCTGTTACAATCAAAATTGACAAAATGTCAAATAATTTAATGATTACTAAATAAAATTATTAACAAGTTATCTCATCAAATACAATTTTATCTAGGAAGTAATTGAGAAAATCATTTATAATAATATAAAGTTTATTATTTGAGATAATTAAATAGCAAGCGCATAATGAATTCGAAATGACTATCATTGAATTAATTCGTGTGAAGAATTACTGAAGGAATTGTTTTGATTGTTAATCATTCCATTAGTTCCATTCATCATTATTTCTATGTCAATAATTTATTTACTTTTAGTATTGTTTCGTTAGATTTAAAATTACTAAAATTTAAAATTTTCCTTTCAAATTGCTTTCATTCTTTTTATTGAATAAATTTGTTGAGGCGAAAAAAAAACAGGCAGCAAAATAAAAACATTTCATTCATTCAATTATTTTTAACAAAATTGTCTTGTCGTGATATTTCTTTTTTTTTTCTTTCACTGATAACAATTAGTATTTGTATCACTTCATTTCTGTCTCTTTAACAATTTGCAGTCACTTTGTGCTATTCTTTTATCATTATCATTTCATATGACTCTCTTCAATCTCTTCTCTTTTCTTCTCAACAAACTTTTTTTTACGGATTATTAAAAGAAGGTGAGGCAAAAAAAAGGCCTGAAAAAAAGGTTCAAACGAACAAACAACAATAAAACTAGCCAAAAGAAATTTCAATAATAATAATTAAGCAAAAAATTAATATAAAAATGACAGCATTAAATTCATTCATTTCATTTCTTTAATTTATATGTGAATGCCTCAACTAAAAAGAGCAATTAAATAGGATATTTTATGATTCGATCAGACAATTTACAATTTAAAATGTGACAAATATGCTATGAAAAAAAAAAAGAAAATTTTAACAAAATGAGAAGAGCAAATATATAACTGTGACCGAAGAAGAAACTTCAAAGAATTGGAGGAAAAGGAAAAAAAAACTGAAAAAGAATGCTTGAAAATGATGATAAAATTTGAAACGAAACGCTAAAAAATGGAACGAATTCTTTATCGCTTTGAAAACTTATGATTGAATACAATTTGAAAATGTAAAAAAGAGGAGAAAAAAGTGAACGATGTAGTAGTTTCAGTTTTGCAGTTGCAAAATTTATCCAATTTTTTTTTTCAAAATTAATTGAAATGGGACTAACAACAACTTTATCGTTGATCTTAATATCGAAAGGAGAGAGAGAGAGAGAGAGAGAGAAAGAGAGAGAAAGAAACAAAAAGAGAGAAAGAAAGAGAGAGATTTAACAATCATAATCAATAAAGGAAGAAATCATATGTGAGTCAGTTAAAATCATCGTCTTTCTTAATTGTCACTTCTAATTAACTGATATGGAAGATTAATCCATATATTTATCACTCTTATTCGTTTAATATTTCTAGAAGAAAATAATGCATACGTACCATAATCGAAACGATGATGCAAAAAAAAAAAAACGAAATTGTATTCTGGAATAAAATTTAAAACGTTCAAGACGAAATTTCATGTTTTTATGAAAATTGAAAAATTTCCTTTTTTTCCTAAAAATATAGTAAACCAAAAAATTAATTAAATGTTTTATGTGATAAAACAATCATAGGATCGTTTTTTTTTTAATATTCAACAAAAGATACATCATTCAGAATACAGTTCATTTAATGGTTCTTGTTTTACTCGTCGTTCAAATAAGAGAGTATTTTATACTGATATCTTATCAGTTGCAAGTTTATGATTATACCTATTCTTAACAATTAATATTAGAGAAGCATTATATGAAAGATTAAATTATTGCTTATTGCAAAAAAGAATTGGACTAAATTTTAAGCCTGAAATATTTGATTGAAGATATATCGGTCTTAAAATACTACTGATAATCCGCTTATCAGTAATATTGAGATTAACAAAAAAGCTGAAATGATCTCGAATAGGACTTTAGTTTTCATTGAAACTACTAAAAACAAAAAGGGTCCAAAGACTGCAGCACATTCATTTAACTATGAGCACAGATAAATTTAACTTCAGTTAATTAGAAGAATATATCAAAGAGACCGCATCCGTTTCCTAATAATCCGATCATGCATCGTCATCATGCATTCCGTGTGCCGGATTCTGAACAATACATATTGAAAACGGAAAAAGATCGTTCCATTCTTTAAAGGCAAATAAAAAACAATAATGTATTAGTGGAGAGAAAAAAAAAAATTCAATTTCAATAATTTTTTATTTCATCCTTAACATCAAATCTAATTATTCGAAATGATCCGATCATGTAAGTTCTAAAGTGTAAATGTATAATTTTGCGCCCATTCATATCAACTCATCAATTATTGGCAAAAATGCATACTGCGAAGTTTTAATTTCCATTATTTTCCAAAATGTCCCGGCAAAAAAAGCTTCCCAATGGTATTGAAGTCGATGGGATAGCATTGATAGAAAGTAACTTCAACAAAGAGAGATCGCTTAAATAACTTCCCGATGAATTTATTTTCTAAGTTGAAGTGAATTAACTCTAACTGACTAATCAAAGAAATATGAATTCATTAAAGTTTATAGAAAAAGAAGCAGACGAGTACCGTTTCATATGCATATGTAAATAAGTGGAAAAAAAAGATAGAGAGAGAGAGAGAGAGATCGCTTAAATAACTTCTCGATGAATATTAGGTAGTGATGATGATCTAAATGGAAGAAATAATCGTATTTTTTTGTAATTTTAAATTAATGCTTGTTCGATCAAAATTCTTTTTTCCCGTCCAGATTTTTTACATGATGGAAATGAAATGTATGGAAACATAAATATAGAAATGGCGTCATTTTACGAATGATTCGTAATATGCAGTGGTAATTAATCTTTTCAAATTGCAAATCTTCAATAATTCCCAATATTATACGTGTTCAACTCAGTGAGCAAATTATTCTTCAATAGCATTTGGTACTCCTAAATTTCAATGAACAAATCATCAGCATTTCCGGAAACTTTTTCCTCTTCCAAGTATTTTATCATTAGGGAATTTTTTCACACTTTTTCCAACTCATATTCCATACTTTTAATACATTCATTATAATTTCAATGTTAATTAATTGACCCTAAATGACAACATTACGATCGATGAATCACGCAGAATGATAAGTTTCAGATGTTTAATGTAGTATTTGAGTATAGAGCAGTGTGAAACCCTGCTGAGCTTTTTAACATTCATCATGATATAATTCATCACACATTCTTATCTGTTATATTTCAAGATACTACTTTTTTTCGACTTCTATAGATTTAACTTTTAAAAAAAAATGGAGTAGTTCTACAAAAATTTGATTTGCTTAGTGCTTTGCTGGGTAGACAAATAAAAACACAAACAATAAAGACTATAATTTATTATTGCAAATTACTAATTGTTGGAACTTATCAGAATTAGCAGCAGAAATCGTTACAGTCCACGATTTAATAGTACAATACGAAATCTAACTTTGACAATTTCTACTTGAAATATTCCAGTGAAAATTAACTAAGAAACAATTTATCGAATAATAAATGATGGTACGATGTAACCTACATGAATTCACGAATTACCAGTTGTAGAAGATCAAATTAAATAAATATTTTTCTTTTTATACCTTTCTTTTAAATCATATTTCATACAGAAAAATGGCCAGTAGGGTTGACAATGGACTATTTAGTATGCATGATTAGCAACATAGAGGTTCTGTCCTGCTGCACCAGAACCTGCACCTCCAGCATATTTTCCTTGTTGCGCAAGCGAATTTGCCTCTGCACGCTTCAAAAATGCTTCTTTCGCTGCTTGAATGTTTTCGGGTTTACCACCCCAAGCTGCAAGAGCGGAAGCTTGCAGTGCTCGACCATAACTGAATGTCAAAGCCCACGGCTTTTTACCCTGAAAGTGCGCAGAAAATAAAAAAAATGCAAGTTGGTTAACAACTTCCTCTATTGCTACAAAGCAAAGTAATTGAATTATAATTACATTTATGTTAAATATTTAAAAATCCTTAAAAATTCGGTGATAGCCAAAACTGCAACCTTTTTTTCGATAGATCACAAACTTTCGATAGATTACTTCTATGCTTTTTTTCTTCTCAGCTACCATTATAGAATCGTGTTAACATTAACTTTCATTTTATACACCATTCAAAAAATTAGTCAAAATAAAAATTACCGGGAACTGATTGATAGCATTCAAATTAAGCGTCGCATCTTCCTCAGATTGACCGCCAGAAAGGAAGACAATACCCGGCACAGCTACTGGAACTGTGCGCTGAAGAGCAGTAACTGTAGCTCGCGCAATATCTTCATGTGAGCATTGCCCCTTATATTGCATTCCTAAAAATTTCTACTGCATTCATTATAACTCCACGAATAAGCATTCTGCAAGCTTCATTTTACATACAACATCTTTACTGCTGCATTCAGTAGTCATAATATTATGTCTTGTTTTCGTTGTAATAAATAATTCCAAATAACTTACCCGGCATACACATATTTGGCTTCAGCAACGTCCCCTCCAAGTAAACATGGTGGTCAATCAATGCCTTGTATGTATATGACAGGACAAGTTCTGTGACTTTCTGACATCGATGAAGGTCATGCTCACCATCGGGTAGAGTTTCGGGCTCTACAATTGGCACCAAACCATGCTGCTGGCAAATTGAAGCATAACGAGCCAATACCTATAAAAGTGAGTTTGAAAACGGATCAAAATAAACTTGGTAAAAGAATTCTGAAATCGCAGCAAAATGAGTTGCAATGCAGCAGAAAACAAAGTTACTAAGTGTAATGCGCATGATGCAAATAGTTTAATATGCAATTGCAAATAATAATCCGTTTTCCGTTATGTAATTTGAACAATTCATTGGTAGGGATTACAGAACTGAAAGAACAAAACTCCGATAATGAGAAGTGCTTACTTCAGCAATTTCAACCAGAGCCATATGGCTAGGTGTTGTAGCACCAATTTTATGTACACAGCGCCACTTAGCAAACTGTGCACCATCCTGAAATTAGTTAGTTAACTTTCTTAGAATTAAAATTAATCAGCCCAATTTACATTCCTTATTGACTTTCTGTACCAAAAAACGATTGTGATAGGAAGTATAATAAACAGCTGATTGAATACAACTGAATAATAAATCACATAGCTGAAAAAACTTCATAAATGTTTAAGATGACCTTCTTGTACTGAGCGCATCGGTTGTTCAGATCATCCAAACCTTGCGTAGTACCTTCACCAACAGTGCCTGCCATTGGAATGACACCCTTATCAACCTAAACAACTTACAATTAGGCAACTGTGGTCGCTGATAATTTAATTTTTGGTTAGTGTAAATGAAGTACCATCTATATACTTATCCGAGTTAATTGGGAAATATGGCTGTCCGGATAATTATGTGCAATTTGATAGATCGAGGGCGAGTAAAACATTTTTTATGATAGGAGGAGTAAAACACATTGAAATCATATGTGAAGCAATACTGAAATCTTTCTCGAACTATCTGAAGTCTTCAATACTTCCAATTGTATTAAAAATTAACTTACTTTGATACCCGGAAGAATACCCTTATTTTGTAGGATTTTAACGAATGGTGTGCCATCATCTCCTTTCTGATAGAATGTTTCATGAAACATGATAACACCAGAAATGTATTTACTCATTTCATCACCAGCTGTGAACAAAAGCTGAAAATTTTTACAAACATAATCTTTTTCATAATCTCGATCAAAAGAAACTTAATAAAATGTCGCAAACATATGTCATGAAAAACATATGTTATGAAAGTATAAGTATGAGTGTAGAAAACCAATCAAAAATAGACCTGACGGTACAAACGTCGATTTTCTTCAACATTTTCCAGTCCAATTGGCTTTAGTTTTTTGTCCATACTTCCTACAAGAAATAATTAATTTTGGATAAAATCTCTCTCATTTCCTATCTTTACTCAGAGCTTGTTCACCATTTATATAGTTTCTCTTTCAATCATTGCTTTCCATATTATCGTTTGTCCATCACTGTTTCCTATATTAACAATTTCAAAAAGCAAAAAAATACATACCAGTGCTTTCATCCGCAGCAAGAATACCTTTGCCAGGTGTCACAATTTGGTTGGCAATTTGTCGCAATTCATCTTTTTGCGCTTGTGTTAGAAATTGCGAATAGGAAGTCATTTTCTGCAATAACAATCAGTAATTAGAAACTATTTGTCTTCAATCAGTAATTAGAAACTATTTGTAACAACACAGTACAATCATACATGAAATTTCTTCATAAAAATTCCTTCCCTCTATAAGGTTTTTTCTTTTAAACTCGTAAACATTCTAACAGTCGATAAGTGCAAAGCCATAAATCACAAGTTGTTGCCAGCTAATCTTTAAGAAGTAAATGCGAGTAAGATTGTGCAATAAACTGTATAACAAATAATGAATAAACCAAGGAAAATAATAAAAAAAATGAAAGATCAAAATAACAAAAAAATTAAAAAAAAAAATAAATAAATAACGGAAACTTGCTAATGCAAGATAAATTAATAATTAACATTAAAGCAATATAACATAAAATGAAATACGGATATATTCCTTATTTCCTGAGATAAAAGAAGAAAATAGAACAAAAAAAGTGGAGATATCAGCAATGCTACTAATACTAAAGTGCTAAATAATGAGAGAATGATGAAAGCAATAAACAGCAAGCAATTTAATTCATCATATAATAATATCTCTTTCCATAAGCGCCTTAAATGCATGATAATCTAATGACTCGTTCTATTTATCTCTTCATTAAATATTAAACAAGTTCTAAATATTGTTCCTGCTGTAAGTAGATGAAAATAAATTAGTGTAATTTTATAACTGAAAATTTAAGTGTAAACAACAGACAATATAAACATAACATTTCCTTAACAGCAAACCAATGAATGTAATGCTTTCGCTAATACTCCGTAATGATTGAGAACAATAGAGAAGTTTTCAGGAACAAACCAAACAATTCCAACAGATCATTTAATAAATTGTCAGCAAGCTAGCCAAAATCATCATTTCAGAAAGTTTAAACTCCTACAACATTAACAGACAAGGAGTTGTCAAGTAACAAATTAAAGATAATAAAAAATGTTCATAAGAGATGGGCTGGTTAAAATAATTCGCAAATGTTAAAACTAATCAGACATCCTTATCATTCATGTCTACACACTTGCAAAGAATGTGTACAATACAATTTGAGCGTGAAATAAATGATATTACACAACGGTATCGAATTACAGGTACTAAATTGAAAACTGCTTGTTATCAAAGAAGTAAAATTTCCGAAGTCATATAAAAAAGAAAGAAGAAAACTCGTTCGAATTAAGTGATTAACGATTATTGAAAGAGAACTGTAAAGCATTATATAACTATTCACCCTTCATTCTTTCATTCTTACACTACGAGATCGCTATCAAATTGATAATGTTATCTAAATAAAACATTGCAAATAAAATCTAATTACAATGAGGCAAATCTAAATTAATATTATTATCTAAATAAAATGAGCACACAATAAATCATATTTCCGGGTATGTAAAGGTTACTGACTGGCACTAAGAAATATAATAGCTGATCTCTGATGAAGAAGTCCGGCTGCATTCATCATAGCAGATAGAACAGAAGAGAAACAAACTGCATGCCTAATGGATGGGTGATAAAACAGCAAGAAAATTCTGAAATACTCAATACATTATTTTAGCGTAAAATTGAACGATCGAGGAAGAAAAGAAGAGAAGATGACAAGCTTAAAAGCAAACATGAAATACGAATAAACCATAAATTTTCCTGAAAGTGGCATAATGGATATGATGACCTTATAGGATAACATAGGAAATATAATGTCACGAAAGAGCAATACTTTTGGAAAGATAAAATGAAGTAAAGAAGATGGACTGAAACCAATGAAAAGGTAAACAATTTCAAAGGAAACATAAGAAAAAGTATTCCTAAATTCAATTCATACAACAGTGGCATGTATGATTGCTAAGGAAAGAATGATGAAAGAAATGGAAAAGAGTAAGAGAATACTGAGAAGTAAAATGATACAAAGAGAAATTCAAAATTTATAACACTGATTAAAATAAAGAAATGAGAAGGCTCTATAAGAAGCAAAGAATGGAAGTAAAAATCAAAAAAAAAGAATATTAAAAAAGAAAAATTTAAATGCATATTTCTCACTGTGTGAAGGAGGCAAGTGGAAATAATTCCTGATGAATGAGATTTCTCGAATCTCCCAACGTTCATTCTATCAAATAGATTGTCATATTGATTGATATCGATATCACATACATACATACACACACACACACACACACACACACAACCACATATCAATCTAACTTTAGCATGCAAACCACAAGCTTTTTAAAGGAGAAGGTGGGAGAGAGATAGGAAGAGACTTTGCTCAATAACATATGAGCCACAATCTTAACAAAATTCAGGGTGACATACATCTTTCTCATTCATCCCATCTCTTTCTAAATTAACTACCTAACTTACACACATACTCACACACATACACACACATATACACTCACACATACATTCACACATACACACACACATACACTCACACACACACACACACACATACACTCACACATACACACACACACATACACTCACACATACACACACACATACACTCACACACACACACACACACATATAAACACATGTTGCAGTTGCAGAAGCGCAGACAGCAATACAACAACATAAACAGCTGTTGACGAGTTCCGCACGAAGAAATTCTGTAAGCATGATATTGATTCCTGTCATAGTTAAAGAGATGAGAGGGAAGAGAAAGAAGTTTGGAATGAATGGAGATAACAGTATGTGAGATAAAAAGATAGTGGCTAAATGTCATAACATATAAAATCGAATGAAGCAAACATTATACGAAGAAGAGAGAGAGATAAGTTATAAGAGGAAAAAGGTTGTAACATTTAGAGCGAGAGAAGGAGAAAAAATGGCAATCAGCTGAACTTTTTTTTTTACAAAAAAGAAAAAAAAAATGAGAGGAGTGAACGGATTGGAAAGTTGAATAAATAATATGTCAACGACTTTCTCTCTCCCCTTCCCTCTCTCTCTCTCTCTCTCTCTCTCTCTCTCTGTTTTATAACTTCATTCCATCGCCGGAGCTATGAAAGTACATGCAGAAATTTGAATTAGAAAAAAGAATACGAACAGATGGGAGAAAAGCCTCAGGCATCGAGTGGAATTGAGAAAAGCTAACTGAAATAGCTATTCTCCATTCCATTTTTTGTAAGAGAGAAATACGGATGTGATGGGATAAAACATTTAACAGGAAAGAGAAAAATGGAAATCAAAAAAAAAAAAATGTTTAAAATCAATCCATAAAAATTCATCCGCATTTGAAAAATATAGAAAAAGGGATATTTTGCAAAAGGGAGCGATAATTCTAATCTTATCATTCCACTTATCACAACTCTTATCGTGCCAAATTACACCTTTCTCTTGCCTTCCTTCAAATCAAATATAGCGCAAACGACTGTTAATCAGATTTTGACCTCTCTCCCTTCCCTCCCACCAATCTCTCCTCTTTCCTATCTCGTCAATTAGTGAAATGTTGGATTGCTTTTGTTAATTATGGTACTGTATGCTACCATAATTGTACTGTATGCACCGTATGCTTTCTTTCCAGTGGCATATCGTTCTTCTCTTAACTCGCTTAAAATGATGGATGTATTTCAGAGGTTTACCCGAAATTTCCCGGATCTAAAAGAGAAGAAATATTTGATCAATTTAATACTGCCTTATTACTGCCTGTCTAATTTTATTTTTGATTTCCAAAATGGGTCAGTTTTGCTATTTTATGATATTATAATACGATTGGTGGTAATTGTTCAAAATTTGGAAAAAAAAACTATTCGAAAATTTTTATATTGTTTTTGATTTTAATTTAATTATAATTGAAATTTGAATATGAAAGCGACCGATGGCTTCTTATACAAATTAAACAGATTTATGTTCCAAAAACTATTCTTTAAATTTGAAATGATCATATTAGAAAATATGTTGATGATTTGTCAGATTAATTTATCGACAAGTACAGAAAAGTGTCTGCCAGGCTGAAATAAAAGACTAATACATCATTAATTCCATATTTAATATCATTCCTACTTTTCATTTCAGGAAATATAATGAAATCATTTTCTCATTAAAAATATATTTGGAAATTTGTTTGTGCCTACACCTCCCTCTCTCTCTCTCTCTCTTTTACCTTTCTTTCATTTCTTCTTCTCTAAAAGATCTATTATTTGAATTGCGAGACAAAATTTGTCTTCTAATACTAAACAATGAATGCATTCCATAAAATGTTACCAAATAATTATGAATTTTCAAAATCAAAGAAAAAAAAAACCGGAAGGAACATAACAGATTATCATCGGAGCATCCATCCCCTTCTTCAATTCAATAGTTTCATCATTTTATTAATGAAATCATCTGACAGTTGCGAGTTAACCATTACTCATTCCCAAAATAAATATTTTAAAAACAAAGTAAGCAGAAAACCAACCAAACGAAACGAGTTATGAATTAGTAAATGATGTATGATTTGTTCGTCGCTTTAAATTATCGAAAATGAAATTTTCTTATGCATAAAAATGACTGAAAAAAAGGACATTTTCTTATGCAAAAAAAGGAAAAATGTTCACGGTTATATCAATGAGGAATTTACTAAATTAGAAATGCATTTTCATACAACTCGTGCTGTAAATAAACTACGTTAATTCTTAACAATTTTCAAATTTATCCCACAAAAAAAATTGGTAAGATAAAAATAGAATTACTGAATGCAAAATAAATTAAGGGAAGACAAAAGATGAATTCGCTAGAAAAGATAAGATTATAATGATTGGAATGTAATGAAAGGAATCTCACTTCTTCTTTGGCATAAAAATCATATGCTGAAAATAAAATTAATCATATAAATTACATACAAGAAATCAAAATAACCATATAAAAATTGTGTTGAAAAAAAAAGAACACTATCCATTCGTAAAGTTCATTAGGAATTTTACCCTTACTGTTTAATTTTTAACAAAAAGAAATGAAGAGATTGAATCATTCCAATGTAAAAAAGAATACCAACAAACTGTGCCAACATTTTTTTGAGTCAAACAATCAACAACAAATGACTAACAATTACAACACTTTACAAAATTCTCAAAAGAAAAAAAAAACGCTCCTCTCTCTTCTACATGTCGTCATCCTCTATTCTTCTTCTTCCACACCAAAAAATTGCAAATTCCGAAAGATCCTTTTTACTTAGACAAGTTGAGCAAATTAAATTTCGAAAGCTCTGCGAGCACGTTAAAGTGCTAAGTTTTCAACGATGAAAATAAGCCGTTATTTCCAACTGGAAAAAAAAGTGCGGATATCACTATCATTACTTCGCAGATTATTTTTCTCTATTATCAGCTGCAAAAACCATTCACATACAAAAACAAACAGAATATAATGAAACAAAATATTTTACTTGTTATGATTCACACAAAAAAAAAACATATAATTCAAATGATAGTGACAAATAATGATACAGTAACAGCATATGCTCTTGTTAAATATTAAGCATATCTGAATGGTTAAAAGACTGCTTTCTATATGTACATATCCATCACAGAGTGAAGTTAAAAAATGTTATCGAATTAGCATGTTTTAGACTAATGTTCTAAATTACAAAAAACCCTGTCATTCTTGCAAAAACATCAAAAGCTTTTTTCTTCATCTTTTCTCAACCAACAATTGAAAATAAGACATCCAAAATAATCCTAGTAATTAATAAATACAATAAATATATACCGGCAATAACTTCACAATAATCCTGGCATTCAATGCCCTAATTTGATTATCCGCAGTATTTTGGAAATAAAACAAAAGATGATCATTACATTATATACAATAAAATTTGTAGGAAGACCAAGCGAATAAATTATAAATAGAAATTGGTAGATCAGGAAAAATATATCTTCAGTTTACTCCTCATCCGCAACAATTTTCAAAGCCTCCGTCGGACTGTCCTGCATTTTCGACATAGCTGCAACTGTATCAGACAAACTAGAAGCGGATTGTTCAGACGGTGAATTTCTAGGTGATGGTTGTCGTTGTGGTGCCAACGCCATCCAGCGGCCTGACGAAGAAGGTGATGGCATGAAATTAGCACCACTCAATACTGACGGTATCATTCGAGGTAGTGCTATCAACGGTCTAAATTGATTTCTGCAATTGTCAATTTTTCAGAAAACATGCTATCTTACAGTACATATCTGGCGATTCTAAACCTGTGAAATCATTTGTCTTACTGAAAAGAAAACCAATTTCAATTATAAGTGGGTTACTTGGTGCGTACTATTCAATTCCCGTCTCAGTGAAAGTGCCGCTGGATCAAAAATAAAAGCAATATATGAGTACTGATAATGTCGCGCTCGTAACAATATCAGTCAGCTTCAAAGGAAAAACTACAAAGAGAAAAATATAGGTCAAAACATAACTACTCCTTCATTTACTGAAATTTCAATATACGTTATTTGCATTCACGTAAGACCTATAACTTCAGTCTGCTTGAAGCTTGAAGACACGACCATATGATCACGGTAGTCAGCACGAATCACTAACAATCATCTAATAGATTAATGGATGCCTAATAAAAATTTTGCGAAACATACTGAATTTCTGAGAATTGCCTTTTAAGCATCTTAACAGTATCAACGTATGATCAACAATATATGTTCTTACCTTGGTGGATGATGCATCACATTTCGTGGATCCGGTAGCAATGGTCGTCGGCCGGGCAGCATTGGTGGCATACCACCCATTCCGCGGAAAAGCGGTGGTGGAGGTGGCTCACCTGATGACTTCAAAATTGATTTTGGTTTGGGTGGAAATATCGAAGATGTTCCAGAGCATGAAGACGATGATGGAGCTGTTGTTGCTGCTATTGTTGTTGCTGATGATGATAACGATGTTGAAGGAACTACCTGCACTGTTGAACCCGAATTTTGGCTAACATTTAAATGCGCACTAGAGGATGATGGGGTAGCCACAGCTGGTGTTGTTGTTGTTGTTGTTGTTGACGTCGGATTTTCACATTTTTCATTTTCCATTACCTAATTCATTCTCTCTATCAAGCAAAAACTAAAACAGATCAAGAGCACAAATTTCAATTTTCCATGTAAGTGTAATAAATTTGCACAAATATAACTGCATTAAATAAAGTTTCAAGATTCACACCTTTCGTCATTACAAACTGATAAAACTTGAAAAGTTATTGCAGTAGTGATTATTGTCAACAAGATCTATTTCTGTTCTAATGTGTCCTACAATTCGGCAATTCGATTTAAATCATGTTTCATGATCTTTCATGATCCTTTGCACCTTTAAAAATGTACGATTTGTGTGATAAAGGCACACTTTTTTTTGAAAACGAAAAGATGACTACCTTTGGTATCTTAAAGTTTTTAAGACTAGCAAATGCGAGTGCTTGTGGAAATTCCACTTTTGGCGATACAGTCGTTGTTTTTTGTTCGTTTAATGGTCGTTCCAGTTTCAGTTTCTGGAAAAATCCATTAGCTTCACAATACAAGTTTTTGAATAAGCCTATGTAAACCTGATTTTTTTAAGCTTAGTGTGCCAATATCTTCAAATTTTCAAGGTGACTTCTTTTGCATCAATGAAATGCAAGAAATGTTTCAAAAACGCCAAATTCCTTCAGTTCTTGAAAGTTTAGATCCAAGCTCCATCATCTGATAGGTCATTGTAACATGATATCTGATTAAAATATGACTATTACATACCTTACTGCTACTACTGAGTTCGCCTTTACGTTCTCTTTTACCCGCCTTACGAGCACGTTCATCTGGTGCGGATCGATTTTTCTCTTTCAACTGTTTTTGTCGTAAGAGTGCTTTCTCTTCCTTTGATCTTGACGATGAAGGTGGCTGACCAACTAAGCGCATAGATCTATTGAGAAGGTGAAATAAGTGACAGTGAAGTTAATTTATAAAAGTAAACTGTTATTCATAATTTAAGTAAAAAATATAAATAAATCAAGAAAAAGAAAACCATCAAATGCACTAACGATGGTACACCACATGATGAAGACTGCGATATTCCAGTAGATGGTCGTGCGGACGTTTGCTGTTTCAATTTAATCATTATTTTCAATTCTGAGCCATAACCTGGTTGTTCCACATTCATCTTTGTCAGATTTGGTGACATTCGTGCACCAGGAGATGATGTCGATACTGATGGGCTATCACGCTTAATAGGAGCTGGCTACAATATAATCAACTTTTGTACAAACTATTAAAAGTAAAATATTATTTTTAATAGTTTGTAAAAAAATTGATTGCTACTTTTTTTGTATGGTGTCAGTTATTTTTCGGAAAATGTTATGTTTCAGGATACCAAGTTACAATCCACATTTTTTAATCTATAGCGTAGGTTTAAAACTTCAAAAAACTATCATTTTTTTGAACTGATAAAAAAAATTCGATAAAACTATACGTATATAAATTACTTATTTATGAAGTAGATTAAAACATCAAAATACGAAGCAAATAAAAAATTGCCAGTATAGAAATGAAACAGTTGTTTGAATCGGATTTAAGTGAAACTGAAAAAAGCATTACTTCAAGCGGTTTACTGACTGGTTCCGATTCATCGTCATATAAATCAGAGGCTAAATACGGATTTGACGTTGTCGCATTGCTGCTGCTTGCTGGCACTGTTTTGCAGTGCAATTTCCCTACCACAGCTTCTAGGCTTCCTTTACGCGCTTTATTGGCCAGAAGTGCTGCCGATTGCATTGAATTGTTAATGGTTGCTGTTGGAGATGAGCTGCTTGGAGATGTGAGTTCTGTTGCTGGACCACTGTAAATAGAAGGAAAGTCGAAAGCTTGCTGCATTTCCAAGAAAAAGAAACAAAATCTACTTTCAGCAGGATCTATTTGGAAATACCAGTAAACGATTATAGTCAAATAATAGTATTTTTTTACAAATAATAGTATTTTTTAATAATAGTATTTTTTTTATTTTTTATTTTTGTAAATCTCACAACAATGAGAAACACTTCCTTGCATAATGTCAAAGATGAATAAAATCAGAAAAAAAACTAATAAAACTAAATTGCTAAAATATGTATAAATCCAACATACCTCGATGAAACGGATGAAAGACATGAAGGGGCAATTAACGAGGAAGACTTGTTAACAAGTGATAATGTAGCTGATGGGGAAGAAAGACTGCCAACAGTGGCTATTTGTGATACCGGAGTACTGCCACCCGCAGCAAGTTGAGTTGATGACTGCGGTATCGCGGTAGTGAAGGCAGGAGGAGGTGGGTCAGTTTCGTCATCTGATGATTCTTCAGTTCCATCGAATTCAGATGTTTCTGATCGATTTTCTTGTGGTAAGCTAACTAAAAAATGAAGAAAATGAAATTTCATGTGGTAAGACAATTTAGTAAGTTCAAATTTTTTCAACAGAAAAAATTATAGAAGAATTTCATCAATTTTCACACCAGTATCTATAGACTCAGAAGCCTATTTGACGAACAGGTTTTATAAGGAAGTCTTTTTTTGCAACACAACCCTATGTTTTTCATTAATCGTTAAATTTGTTGTCTAACTTTTGGATTCAATTAACATAACCTAAATGCTGAAGACATAAGTGAAAAAGAAGAATTCAAGGACTGACTATCCGATTACTTCAAAAATATTCGCGTTACCAGGTGGCATTTGCGAAGGATAAACTGGCATCTCGGAAAAGGAACGTTGTAACATTGGGCGATTCATGGTAAATTGATGAGAATGTGCAGGAGACGTAGGCATATGAGCAGCTTTCCGAGGTCTTCGAGGACGCCTTGTTGCCGAAGTTCCTATAAAACAGAGATTTTTTCCATGGAAAAATACTGAGAGTTTTCGTTACAGTCTCCATATAAGCACCACAGTATAAATGATTTAAATACATTTTCAAAAAATCAAAAAAAGCACTACCTCGAGGTTTGCGCGTTGGAATATTCATACCACGAAACATCAAACCAGTATTTTGGTCGAGAGTTGGACGACTTGGATCTAATATTCGATCACCTATATTTCCCGCTTTACGGCCTCGACCCCGACGTTTTAAAGTCGGTTGAGCACCCAATGGACCTCTGGTACTTTGCATGGCTGCAAAAGGATACGGACTCTGTCCCGCTTCTGGAAAATGGAATTGTTGAGCTGATGATGCTCCCACCGAACTTGCTGAATTCATACGAGGTGGATCATCAAATTCAAAAACATCTGTCGGATTACTCATCGGTGTTTGCTGCTGAAAACATGAACCATTGTACTATAACGAAATTATGTTTTTTGTATAGAATATCGTAATGTGCATATTTACAACTCGTCATTATTGATTCTCTCTTGTGATTTTTTTTTCATTTCTTTTTATATTTTTTACTCTCGCATTAAATATTCTTGCATGATACATCATTCTTTTACTTTCCAAATATTAAATCAAAGTTCCAAATATAAAATGAACCGCAAGACGTTGGCGCGCAATATCAAGTGGTGAGAGCTGCGAAAAATTTCCTGCTTGCGAAGCACGATAACGTTCGCTAGCTGGTGACGGCGACTGCGACGGCATTTGTGGCCGGAGCCTTTGGCTCTGCAAAGCGATGTTAAAATTAAATCAATTCAATTATAACTATTTGCACAAAAAGAAACAAACTGACAATTAAGTCATTTTCACCACTTCAGTGTCAGAAATTCTATTCAGGGATAAAATTATAAATTCATCTAGCTTCCTCTGAAGAAATACTTGTTCCTAAATGTTTGAAATCACTGAATCTATCTACATCTTCGTCTTCATTAGCAGGACAAAATAAATACTTGCCTCATTAGTGGACGGTGAACAACGTTCCACTGTAGATGAATGACTACTATGCTCGGAAATGTTCGATTCACCATCATCGATACTTGCTGCCATGTCACAAATTGCATCCTTCAAATTTCGAATAGATCTTTTCAGAACTCAAAAGAGACTAATTTAAAATACATTTGTTTAGAAATTTTTAAAAAAATTCGAAAAATCCTCCATGCAAGGTTATACTTCATGTACTTCAATCCACCTTTAAATTTTATCTCCGAAAAAGCAGTTTAATCATTACGATATCAATAACTTCACTCGTTTATTTCTTCATATCAGGTAACTTCAGCGAAGGAATTGGAAGTGCAAAAAGTTTCGTGAGAAACTATCAAGTACACATTTTTGGATACATTATAACGAATGATTAAAACTCGAACTGTTGAAATTATGCAATGATATTATGATGAAAGCCCGATGTGGGACATGCAATATAATTTTTCAAATCATCCATCAATCAACTGCAAATTTGGAAATACGAAATTTTTATTTTCAGTGCTGAATTATTCGATTCAATTGCTTTTTTGTTCTTTTGTCGTGCTTTATATTTAAATTAAATCAATGTTATCTTCCTAATGTACCCAATTTTAGATGTTTAATTTGTTTGCTGCATAGGCTTCTACCGATAGTTCACATTCCACAAATCATTCTTGTTTTTCAGTTATCTACGTAATGCTGCATAAAAACAGAATTAAGTACAACCGTAGATCTGCGCTTATATTTTAAAGGAATAGAAACTGAATGGATGGTTTGATTGTTCCATGTACCTCTCTTAATGACAAGGAAGGTTCTGAAACCTAACTATCCTGTCGCTGTTAAATGCAGAAATTGCTCTATGTCGATTCATTACAATCACATTGACTAGACGTTCATATTCCTTTTCATTAAATTTAAAATTCCCACCGTTGAATATAAATTCCAGAATTTTCGGAAAATTTAGAACAGAAATGATGTACCAGGACAGAGAAGGCATTGATCGTCATCGTATTTTCAGAATGGATACGACTCGTACGTGGTGCAAGCATTTCGTTACGTGGAGGCGCCGTACATTGTTGCGCTCCATTCATGGGCTTTTGAGGTGGTATTAGTTCTTCTATTTTTTCGAGCTCTTTGAAAAGTGCTAATAAAGACAGCGGCGATTGCCTTCCTAAAGTATTGCTATCACGTGAACAATTAAGATTAATTCGTTCATCCACCACGTATTCGTGTTCTGTTTTGCAATAATTAATGCTGTTGTCCGTTATGTTTGGAACAAACAACCAAGATTGTGATATTTTAACGTCGCAGTTATTATCAACATTTTCGCTCATCACAAATGGTTTTTCAAGCGCATCCAACGAAATGGCGCCTCCACGTCGCAAAACACTTCGCATCATTATTGCCAGCGACCAACTTCTGCAAAAAAAAACAGACCAAATTTAAATTTATTATAACTTATGATTATTAGATGTAGCGAGAAATGTAACGAGGAATCCTCAGATTTCAATAAACTTCGATATGCTCGTCACTTCAAATCAATACTTTTATTTGGAATGAAGTTTTCGGTACCTTACATTTTCAATTTCAAGATAATCAAATGCTTAAAATCAAGTACTTACTTTGCAAGAGTAGCTGTGGCATGCTGTGATTCCGGAAGTACCGCTCCATTTATTACACATTCTAGTGAGACATTAAGATTTGACGGTGATACAGCAACACGGGCTGAAAATATATCTTTCTCCATTTTTCGAAACCAGAAACTTACTAATCTATTATCCATAAAACTTTAGAACAAGCAGCCATAGTGACTATTTTTCAGAAAAATATTTTACATGCACACGAAAATTAAATTTAAACTTTGAAAAGCGATACTGAGAAAACTTTTATAAAAACGATGTTCTCGAAAGCATTACCTATAAAAGGATTCTTTTTTAGGTAGAACTGAAGATCAAAACAGTCGATGTACGAAGACGCAATATGAATATCAACAAAATTTTCATCAACACATGCACTTCGACTATGTGCTCTCACAAGACTTTCGAAAAAGGCATTATGAGCCAGCTGTGTTCGAATGATGCTTACAAGAAAAGCTACATCTTGTAAATGAGCAAATGGTATCTGTAAAAATTAAATCTCTTAAAGTTACTCGTGAAATAATATTTGAATTCTTGACAAGAAACATAAATTTTATGCCCATTTTAAACTTTGGAGTATTACAGAGTTTTAGATCAAAGCTACTGTTAAACTTGAAAATCACTTGTCTTAAAATGCCATCTTCGTGCGAATACGTCATGGAGTAGTCAAAAATATAGTGTTGTGTCGAACAGCCTGGCAGACGAACAAAAAGGTCATGACATTCCTGCAAGAATCTAACCAATTATCAATAATAGAAAAGCCAGATGCAAAAGTTTGGGAGAAAATCCAGATTTTTCCAAACATTTCATACCGATATAAAAAGTCTTATAACATTTTAATCACTCATTTAATGTCGTAGATTTCTGAATCAGAATGCTTACGCTTGATTTGATCGAAAAGAACAAACCGGTTCAATGCTTTTGTATTACAAAAGGTTTCAAACATGCAAAAAACAATCTAATCTAAAACAAATGCAGAAAACAGATGCCCACCTCACTTTCATTCAATAAATATTGATACAAATTGTATGAGCCTTCAACATTCAGTGGAACTGATGCAATCTTAAAAAGCTTTTTGATTGCAGCGGATGAAAATATTATTGGTCTTGAAAAGCGCAAACAAAACGCGGCTGGCAGCTGGCGGCCTGATACAGCATTGCGCCATTCACCACTACAAAAATAAAATCATTGAGATAGTTAAACCTTTATAGAAAGCTTTTATCATAAAATATAAATATAGAAAAATTTATGCATACTGTGCAAAAAGTGTAGTATCGGAAAAGAAGTTTGGAGTTGAACTAGAGACAATGCACAATTGAAGATATGGCTCCACATCATACAACACTGAAACTAATTAATGATAATGCAATGTCTGTCTTACATTTGATAGGTATATCACTAAAGGAATATGATCACGAAATATGATCAGACCTGTTCGCTGCAATAAATAGCTTTACATCTTGTCAAATTTAAGGTCTTCGATTCTTTTTAGAATAGAATAACTTACCTTGCTCATCCGTAGGAGATATAATACTACCGGAAGTAGTGTCCAAGAATATTACAGGTTCGACGAATGGATAAATAGTAAATGGAGTGGATTCAGTTCGCGGTTTACAGAGACCCAAAATACCACCGTTTATTTGTTCAAAAACTGATGAAGCATTTCCAGACATATTCAGGAGATCTTTTTCAGCGTATTCTAGTGATCGTAGACAATATATCTTTTCATCCCTGAAGAAAAATTTATTCTAATAGATTTTAATAAAATCCTAATATGATTTCAGTGCATAAAAATATGTTACAAAGAGTACCAGGATAAAACTAACTATCTATAACCAGTTGAGCGACAAATGGAAAAAGTAGGCAGCAGGAGTACGAGTAATTAATTAAGTACGAACAAAAACCCATTACCTTGACAAATCTGATGGAACAAGATGAAACATTGCTGTCAATGCTGTGTGCACAAGGTCCCATCTGTTACGAGAAATATAAAGCCGAAGTGCTTGCGCTTCCACTGCTCGTTCACCAAAACAAGATACTGAACAAGTGGTAATTTGTTGACCATCAGCAGAAACAGTAATTTCAAGTGAAAAATCGGCATTTCGAATCTTGTAATATCCTGGATGAGCTTGGAATTCACCTCTGAAGTAAAGATTAATATAAATATAATTGGTAGCACGATGGAGCTGGCCAAATCAGTTAGCAAGTACTGTGCCATAGTTAGAACCATAATTCGTCTATTTTCCAAGATATTTTATAACTCATCTATACCAGTATACCATACAACGCATACAATAAGCTTTCAGCAAGATGCCGTAGATGTGTAGACAAATCACGATCACTATCAGATGGCATGTGCTTCCTCATATCGGCAGCTGCCTCCATCAAATCCTCCTTATCATCGGCACTGAGCACAAAACGTTTCTCCTGCAAGATATTATACTCGCTAATTTTTCATATTTCCTCAAAATATTATTAGCTTCCTAACCTGCTGAACTTTAAAAAACTCTGACGTCGACCTGGAAAGAAAACCGTACTAAAAACCCTAAAGCTTCCTTTAAAGAACAATGCGGTTAATACACCTCTTCTTCATACGTTGATTTTAGTAATTTCATTCCACATAATGATTACACTAGTTAAAATGAAATGTTGTAAAGTGAAGGAACAAGCTTTACAGAAATAAAAATCAGATTTCAACAAGAAAGAATGGTTGAAAGTATTGTTTCCCAAAGTTCACAACTTTTAAAGTCTTGAAATTGCAAAAAAATTTCACAAAGAAAACACACCATAAGATTCCGACGTAAAAGCTGTGACAAATAATCCCATGAAAATTTAACTGATGCTTGTCGAATTTTTTCAAGGCGAATTTCCTCTTCAACCTCTTCCAAACTAAAATCAACCAGGCTGCATTTGTCAGAGTGAGTACCATCCATCACCGGTTTCTGTTCTTGCCTTTCCACAATACTTTCCTTCTCCATAAACGTCCTGAAATTCAACCTGCATCAAACATTTAAACGTTTAATTTTTTCACAATCGCTGACATTTGCAAGCATCGATTCTGATAGATGTTCCACACATGCTTTAACTTCACCACATATCAGTGTTGCTAATCAAAGTAAGATTCGTCATTAAATTACTTATATTTCTATAACCTTTGTTATACTTGCCTCAGTAGTACTTCATTCCAACTATTCCAACAATGTTAAAAAAGTTTAGTGATAAGTTCCACAAGTTAAATAATTTATTGATTAAAATAAAATAATTTAAAGCATAATATATGGAAACAGTGTTAGTTTACACTAAGTATGGAAATGCTAGCGGATACAAGCGTACATATAAGCGATACGTACGTGATGCGCATACGCAATACAACCGTCTTGCAGAAATCGATATCGATGTATTTAGACGAGATAATTGCATAGCGTCATTTTTCACTATATCAAATTAGTCTTCCAAATTGGATAATGAAAATGAAGACTGAAAGATTGGAGAGAATATAAAAATGGGGGAGAGATAGTATAGTGATTTGAGGAGTAGCAGAGAGTGATGAGATTTGGGAAATACTGTTAAACTTAAATATTGATAGAATTAGCAGTTAACTATATGTAGCAGTGTTATAGAGTAGAAGAAGCGAGTTAGATGGATGAAAAGGAGGAGATTTGACGGAATTTAGAATTCATAATTTATACAAAATGAAGGAAGTGAAATGTGTTTATTACGTGTGATTTTATTGTTATTACGTGTGGAAAGTGATGAGTATTTGAACGTGAAGGAATTTTTTTGCAGGAGATAGTGAAGAAAGGAGAAATATGAAATGGTTTGAGGGTGGAATAGCTGAAGCAATTGCTGTAAGTCGTCAACAGAATGCACTCTTCATTGTTAATATTCAACAGCCACCAGGTAAGCGAAGCATCGGCTCTTCATGTTCTACTTCATGTTGAAATTGAAATTGTCAATAGGAAATTAAATGATGACAATAAAAATTACGAATGCATTGGTCGAAATAATTTCTGATTAGGAATGTTGCAACTATTCTATTTGCCTTATATTATTTCATCATATTATCAGTAGAATACTACATCAAGTCATTTTGAGTGACATATGTTTTCTTCCATAACTCATGGTATGAAGCACAAATTCAGAATCTAACTACATTTGAATCCCTATGGATTTTGTGCTGTGAGTTGTTGAATTTGATTAGTTGTACTTATTAAAATAATAAAGTACTGAAATAAGCAGTATAGCACGAAATAGTCCGATGAAATTGTGAAGAAATTTAGCCTAGTTTTATTTGAAAAAAGATAACATATAAGAAAGCAGGTGTGCGCTTTCTTATTTATTTCTCCTAAGGATCGGTTGAACCAACTTTGTTGACAGTAATACTAGCACGAAATGGATGAACGTACTGTTTGACGATATGAAATCCTAAATCTGTAGTAGAATTTCATAATTACAACATTCTGTTTTAGAGAATAAAGATGAACAAAGTATGCGAATGGCACAACTTTGGGATAGTATTGATAACAATATTTGTCAACCGGCTTTGGTCGGAATACGTATTTTCCAAGGGACGGAGACGGCAAAGCAATTTGCCCAGATATGTTAGTTTCCTTTTTACATTTATATTAGTGGGGTAATTGATTGCTGAAACGTAATACACTTTGTATATATCACTTTGATTATTTATAGGTTCCCGGAAAAGATATAATTAACGTTGTTAAACTATTTGAATTAATTCACACATTTGTATTACACTTCATGATATTGGATTTGTTTCTGAATGTTTAGTTTTTCCAGAAGAAATGGCATCTTTTTGAGAAAATTTATAATTAATTTGACCGTAGATCCCGTGTTTATTGTGCCAGCATCGTATATTATTGACTTGAAAGGAAAGCCTCTGGATGTCATCACAATCAGTGAAGAACTGAATGAAGATATCTTCGCACAAAGACTTAAGATTGCTATGAAGGCAAGTAGTTTTCATAATCAAAAATATTTTCAAAAATCATTCTCTTGTCCAAATGTCTGCTATGAATTTAATATTATTTTTGCATTTGTTGACTTACTTCTGCCAATTTTGTTTTTTATTTGCTTGCATTAACTAACTTAAAAATTTATGAATAACTTATTTTATGACGTTGGGCAGTCCATGACTCAGAAATTTTTAGTGCTGATTTCAGTGTTTCAAATTGCAGGCTCTAAATATTGTTCACCAATCTTCATCGTCCTCATCAATTGTAGCTAATAAATCAAATGAAGAAGAGACAGAAAGAAAAGAATCTACAGCTGTCGGCATGGATGAAAAGATAAAGAAGTGATTTTCAATTAATATCAAAACTAAAATTATATATTTTTTAATATAGAAACTTTTGTTTATGTTTGTTCCATGAAGTTTTAAGCTTTTTTAGGGCACGTGAACTGCTTGAAAAGAAACGTGAAGAAGATGGAGTTATGAAAAAAAATGAAGAAAATCACAAAGAGATCGAAAGGAGGAATTTAGGCAAATTAATGCTAGAAGCCAAAGTTGGTAATAGGCTCAAGTTTTTTGCTTTCACACACTTTTCTATACAATTCTGTGTTTGTTCAAATTTCAGTTTGGAAGTTGGTTTTTAATCCCAACAGCATCTTAAGTTCTAGTATCTTTAGTAGTGAATTACATTCTTACCTGTTGGAGGCCTCACATGAGGAACGCGAGAGACGCGAGATGATAGAACAAAAGAATCGCGAAAAACGTGAACAAGAAGCTTACCTGAAGAAACTTCGTGAGCAGATTAAGGCAGACAAGTAAGTATGTAAAATGAAGTAGGAAAATACAATGAAAGATTTTATCTTGAAAGTTATGATGAATTATTTAAATAAGTATAAATTACGAACTTTGTCAACATATTTTTAGAGAAGAACGAATGAATGGAATATTGGGTAATGTTATGGAACAGAAGCAGAAAGCAAAGTCTGCAGAACATCAGACTGAAATGCAGTCTTCAATTCCAGACAAGTATTTTCTTCTCTATGCTATTAGATAATAAATTAAATAGTTGGCTGTTAATACGACGTACCTTTCTACCATTTACCATTTATGGCCATGTTTAGCATTGATACGAGGCATGACTGTAAATGGATTCTGGTTCGACAAGGTGCACAGTGGGAATGTCTAAATAGACATTTTAATGTTCTTGACATTTTTATTCAGTGATAGCATGCAAATGTCTGCTTCTTGTTATTTCTCTCTACTGTTTTTCACATTTCATATGCTGTATGTTTAATTTTAAGTGCTGGATGTCGCATTCAATGCAAATTTTCTGATGGCTCCACTTTGGTACATCAATTTGCTTCTACAGATATCTTTTCTCAGCTTGTAGAAATAATCAAGAAGGTATGACAGCGCAATTTTATTGCTGATCTCTTTATGTTGATTTAAATAATTTAGCTTCAGATGTATTTTGAGATGATTTTTCATACTCTTTTATTTCAGGATGGACGTCAAGGTGATGATTTCTATATAGTGCAAATGTATCCAAGGCGAGAGTTTCCTGATATCACACAAACATTTGCTGAATTGGGTTTAACGCCATCTGCGACTGTCCTCGTACTTTCTGTAAATTTATATTCATTCATTACATATATTTCCTGTTAATGCTTGTAAACGAAAAATATTATCAAGAACTTTAAAAATTAAAAATATTCAAAATTTGGGCCCTACTTTTCGTCACCGTTGCTTTTGTAACTTTTGATAGTGCACACAAACAAGACTTTATTCTCATTAAAATTAAAAAAGCTTTAGAAAAATATATGCACTTTTAATCATTTTTATATTTCATATGTACTTCAACTATCCTGAATTTCAGAACATTTTTTTTTGATAGCTTCTCTGGTTTTGAATAAGTCACTGTTTTAGAAACGCAAGCGAACAATGACTACTTATGGTAGTTCTAGATGGATCGGATTACTTCACTATGCTATTGCAGCTCCATTTCAAGCTTTATATCGTATTCTGCTTTACATAGTTGGTTATAACGGACCTACATCGCCGAAACAAACTGAAACAGCTAAATCCAGTAATACCTCTGCCACTGTACCGAGTAAAGTTCGCAGATCGAAAAAAAGTGGTGGACATCACCGAGACCATGTTAGACATATAAGGATAATTTACTAATAGAGTTTAGCTGTTCAAATGATGTTTATCATAAATGTGTATTATTCTTTTCAGTATAAAATTAAAATCTGAAAATTTTGAAAAATCAGTTTAGGAAGGTAACTTTCGAAGATTCCATAACGAAGAGGATTCTTCACATTCAGATGACGAAGCCAGGTGGAATGGTAATTCAACTCAACAACTATGATGACTAATTTTTGGGTTCCTGTGATTTTATTATACATTTTGAACGTTTTATCGTTACATTAATTTCTTCAACATATTATATGTGATCTTATCATTTTAGTTCTATGATATAAAGCTTTTCGGAAGTTCATCTATGTTCAGTATCAACATTCGTTTTCATTTCGGTCAATTTCAATATAATCTAGTTAAATTACCGACCGAAATTCGATCACCACACAGATTAGATGCAATGGCTGAATGATTTACATTTGTTTGCATATTCTAGTAAAAGGGGGAAGGCGCGTATTATTTTACATGTGTTGTGTCATAACCGAAAGAAAATTAGAAAAGTACTGAGTGATTGGAAATCAGTTAAAAAAAAGAAGACTGCGGGATAAATTATAACATATGAAAGAATAAGATGAAATGTTTCCTTAAAATGACGGAAGTATTTCTCTTAATTATTTGTGCTCAAATGTGTGCAACAAACAAGATGAGGCAAATAATGGAACAAACTTATCTAAAATTATTTAAGCAAAAAAAAACTGCATGAGCACAGATGATAAAATATTTATGAATATTCGAAATATTTTTGCTTCCTAAAATTTATTTTACAGCTCATGTCGATTTTCCGACTTCATCCCTTGCTTCTGAACTTTCTTCTGCATGAAGCTTTCCATTGTAATCCATTTTTC